CATTTATCGCACCTTTGGTGTGCTTGAGTTTTGTAGCGTGTGGCACTATTCGCCTTCCCAGGATTTGTATTACGTGTTGGGTGTGCTTGTGGTCGATATTCGGGCATTTTGTAAGTATAAGTGTTACGGTATTATGTGTGGATAAGGTTGCACGCCGCAACAGTGAGATGTTGAGTACAGTTACATATATCTGATTCGGTGTATTTTTGTTTCTCATTCTCTGAGGAGAGTTCATAGCGTCTGTTCGATTATTTTATTCGTTACGCGGGATGGGAAGCTCCATTCCAGAGTTTATTTTCCTTATATATCGCATTCGAGTTCATAGCTTGTTGGCGCATTTTTGGCATCATATGAGATCTTGGTCAGTGGTTGAGCTGGCTTATTACCTGTGTAACTTATACCGGGTGAGACGAGACTATTGGACCTGAAATTCGGTACAATCGGATATATATAAGTATATTAAAGAGAGAATATCGGTATTCGGTCCAGAATGAGGCTATGGTCCTTGTCAGGAGAAGCGACTCCATGATTTGATTGATTCAATAGGTGGTTATGAATTTCAACACATCTTCTCTGTCATGGCAGTATTGTGAGGATTGAAACTGGGCTTATTTGTATTATGAGGTGTATTGCGAGCATCAGGTTCGTGAAATTCCAGTTATTGTGGTCGGAGGATGTTGCCTTGGGCAAATGAGTTATGCGGTGCGTGGTGTGATTTCTACATAGATGCACAATCGTGTTTTAGCATAGTGTGTAGTGATTGATATGGTGTTCGTATGTTAGAATAAGGTATTGTAAAGAAATTCAGAGGTTGGAATTTGAGTCTAAGGCTTATAGATTGATTAAAAGAGAGGACCTTCAGTCCGGCTCGAGGTGAGGTGACAAACTAGAATTGTGATGGCACGGGTAGGTGTACAAGGTGTTAAACAGTGATATTGGGCAACTCCAGAGCAGTTCTTAGCAAGTTCGAGGACGAACGTATGTTTAAGTGGGAGAGAATATAACGACCCGACCGGTCGTTTTGAGCTCTAGCGCGTCGTTCAACGGTTTGAGGCTTTGAGAAGCTTCACTTCATGTATTGTAACTTGCACGTGTGATCGAAATTTAATTTCGAGAAGTTCGGAGTTGATTTGGAAAGAAAATTCTCATCTCAGAAGCTTTAAGTTGGAAGAATTGACTGAGATTGGACTTTTGAGTCAATGACCTCGGAATCAGGATTTGAAGGTTCCAATACGTTCGTATGATGAATTCGGACTTGGGCGTATGTGCGGGTTGAGTGCCGGGTAGCCCGGGAGTATTTCGGCGCTTATTACGGAAGGTTGGCATTTTGAAGGTAAAAGACTTTCCTAAGTTTGGGGTGGAATGGATTTCGATGTTATCGATGTCCGTTTGGGATTTAGAGCATGGGAATAGTTTCGTATGGTGATTCTAATCTTATGAGCGCGTCCGGACGTTGATTTGGAGGTCCGTAAGTCATTTCGGCGTCAATTGGCGAAAGTTGGAAATTTGGATGATTTTGAGAAGTTTGACCGGGAGTGAACTTTTTGATATCGGGGTCGGATTCTGATTTCAGAAGTTAGAGTAGGTCTGTAATGTCAATTATGACCTGTGTGAAAAATTTAAGGTCAATCGGACGTGATTTGATAGGTTTCGGTATCGATTGTAGAAGTTTGAAGTTTCAAAGTTCATTAAGTTTGAATTGGAGGGTGATTCATGTTTTTAGCGTTGTTTGATATGATTTAAAGGCTCGACTTTGTTTGTATGATGTTTTAGGACCTGTTGGTATATTGGGTTAAGGTCCCGGGGGCCTCGGGTGGATTCCGGAGGGTTAACGAGTCGATGTTTGAACTAAGGGAATGCTGGGATTTTTCTGGTTGCTGGTGCAATCGCACCTGCGAAAAAAGGGCCACAGGTGCGATGCCGCAAAAGCGGCCAGGCAAGCGCAGGAGCGGGTTTCCATGGGCAGTGCTGGGATCGCAGATGCGGTCATATCACCGCAGAAGCGGGACCGCACCTGCGGAGTGGGCAGCGCAGAAGCGACGGATGACCTGGACTTGGGTTCTCGCAGGTGCGAGACTTGGAGACGCAGAAACGGCTATCGCATGAGCGACATTCTGGGCTGCAGAAGCGGAAATCGCGACTAGGCAGAACCCTTTAAGTTCGAGGGTTCGATATTTTTCACCCATTTTTCGGATTTTGGAGCTCGGTTTGGGCGACTTTTGAGAGAAATTTCACCACACAACTTGGGGTAAGTGTTCTTGACTCCCTTGTAATTATATTTCATGAATTGATTTTCATTTTTGGTGTATGATTATCGAATCTTCAAGAGAAATCAAAGGAAATTTCTATAATTTCATAAAAACGAATTTTCGAGTTTTGAATGTCGATTCAGAGTCGGATTTGAGTGAAATTAGTATGGTTGAACTCGTAATTGGATGGGTTGTCAGATTTTATGAGTCTTGTCGGGTTCCGAGATGTAGGCCCCACCGTTAATGTTTCGAGCGAAATTGGAAATTTGTTGAAATTGATTAGTTATGGGTATTAAAACATATATTGATTTATTTGCACATTGTTTGCATAGCTTTGGATCGACAAGCATCAGTTTGAGGTATTAGAGTGGCGTTGGAGCCGACTATGGAGCTTCGGAGCGAGGTAAGTCTCTTATCTAACCTTGTAAGAGGGAATTTACCTCATAGGTGATTTAAATTAATAATTGTTGCTAATTATGGGGGCTAGGTACGCACAAGGTGACGAGAGTCCGTGCGTAGCTACTAATTATGCTATGTCCGGGTAGTTTAGGACTCAAATCATGAATTACTTGTAATAATTGTATCCTTTATTTAATTAAAGTACTGGAATTATATAGGAAATTGTTAGAGAAAATAGTAAAAGACCGAAATTTCACACACTTGAATTTTTGTGCAAATTACTTGACCGTTAATAGAAACTGTACATCCTTATGTGTTAACCTTGTGATAACTTCTCATTTAGGAGGTTCAAAAGAAAATGTCCTCCATTCTTGTGGAGCGGGCCGAACGCCTCGGCAGTATAGATGCATCTATGGATCGTGCCGCACGTCCCTCAGTAGTGTACACAACACTCTAGATCGGGCCGTACGACCTCGGCAGAAATCATGCCTAATAATAATAATTACACGATACCTTGACCTTCTATTGCAACTTGTGAAGCTAATTTATTAATTAGAAATTATTGAATTTGAAAGAATCATTTATTTTCGCTTGTTAAGAAAATTATTACTATTCACATAAATCATGTATATTTAAATATTTCTATTTTAATATTATTGACCCATAATGAGTGTCAAAGTCACCCTCTCGTCACTACTTCTTCGAGATTAGGCTTGATACTTACTGGGTACACGTTGTTTGTGTACTCATACTACACTTGTTGCACATTTTTGTGTAGGTACATGTATGTCTAGTGATCTTTTGGGCACAGAGGCGCAGCTATCGCGGGGACTTACGGTGAGCTGCATTCCATGCTACGAATCAGCAGCTACAGAGTCTCCATCAAAGTTATTTATATACTCCTGTCTAATTTGTATCCTAAACAGATGTTTCATTTATCATATTTTTCCTAGTTGATGCTCATGCACTTGTGACACTGGGTTTTGGGGTTTCCTACTGGACGTTTGGTACGGTAGTTCACATAACTATCATTGTTTCACTCTGTAAATCCTATTTTATAATAATTAGTTAATGGAAATTTTGATTTCAAAGGTAATAAAGATGGGTAATTGAATTAGTAAATTACCGTTGGCTTGCCTGACGGCGGCGTTAGGCGCCATCACGATCTATAATAGATTTTGGGTTGTGACAGCCACCAAGTTACTATTCATCATCTTTCATAATCAACACTTGCAAAATATACAATTTGGGTGATTACTTAGTTGATCACTTACAACTCTTACTAACAAATAACTCCATAGGTTCATTGTATTCATCAATTTCATTGCCAAGATTAATACTCATCTTCTCTCTTATTTTCTCAAAAGTACTATTTATGCCATGAATTGGAGTTTTATAATCCAATCTTTCAACCATCAAAACTTGTAACAAATGTTTCGAATACTTCTAACTACTCATAATAAACAAGTTTGAAACATTGAAATTACCTCTAGTAGCTTAATCTTGAAAAACACAACTTTGGTGATTTTAGTATTTTTGAGGATTTGATGATGAAATCTAGCATTTAGATGCAATAATGATGTTAGAACTCATTTATATTGAGTAAGAATCAACCCAAAACCTCATTAATAACTTACCTTGGTTGATTGGACTTAGTTTGAGCTTAAAATCGCCCATTCACCTCAAGAACCCTAACCCCAATACTCAAAATACTCTCATCCCCCGACTTTGTATTTATAGGCCCAGATTTTTGGGTTTCGGACGCGGCCTCGGATGCTTCGCATCCCCAATTCTCTCCTCTTCGAAGCTCGTACGTGGACCTGGATGCTATGGCATCACTTCACTGCCAGCCTTTCTTTCGGACGCTGCCCCGGATGCTTCGCATCCGCAGTTCACTCCTCTGCTAGCCTTTGGTAATTTGGTCATAACTTCTTGTAGGAATGTCCAAATGACAAACAGTTTGAAGCGTTAGAAACTAGACTCAAAGATATTTCATTTGATAGGTTTTCCATCACATAAATCCTTATATATATGTATATATTCTCGTCCAAAGTTAGATCTTGTGCGTACTCATTTGAAACTTTAGTCTATCATGTATTTTCCAACTTGATTTGTCCCAAGGGCTCTCATTATGCCCTATATCATTTCAAATATACCTCGTACACTTATTATCATATCCAATTAATATACATCATATTAATAATCCTCGTCTACATACAAAATAATATAATTAGCACACAACAACTTTCTTAAATGCGCTTAAGTATTTCAAAAAACATTTCCGGGGTGCTACATACTGTACCAGGGATGAACATGTTTGTTTACTTTTGTGTCTATTTTGATTCCCTTAAAATGGGTTGGTTAGAAGGTTGCAAAAGAATTATTGGTTTTGATGGATGCTTCTTGAAAGGGATGTGTAAAGGTGAGTTACTGGTAGCTGTTGGCAAAAATGGGAACAATCAGATATTTCCAATAGCATGGGTAGTTGTGGAGACAAAACACTCTTGGACATGGTTCATTCAACACCTGAGTGCTGACTTGGAGTTAGGAGATGGTTTCAACTTAACAGTAACGTCAGACAGTCAAAAGGTAAACTCCAGCTTACACTTATTTTACTATTGTCTACTATTCTTAACTTCAATTAAATGATATTAACTTTACTGTTGTATGCTATTTTTACAGGGATTAATACCTGCAATTGAAAACTGTTTACCAATGACATAGTATAGGATATGTGCTAGACATATATAGTCCAACTGGGCAAAGAAATGGAAAGGTGAAGAAAGAAGGATACAATTCTGGAGATGTGCCAAGTCTTCCTTTGTAGTGCAGTGCAAGGATGAGTTTGCAAGATTGGGAATGCTGGGGAGAAACATATGTGAGTATGTTCTGGATTACAACAAAGAAGTATGGGTAAGGGCTTATTTTAGTCCTATGTCTAAATGTGATGTTGTTAAAAATAATATGTGTGAGGCATTTCATTCATGGATAGTGGTACCTAGGCATAAGTCAGTTATAACTATATTAGAGGAAATCAGACACAAAGTGATGACTAGAACTGTTGATATGAGGAGATTTGCTGAAACTTTGATAACAGATATATCCCCAATAGCAAGAATGAATTTAGAAGAAAATAAAGATGCATTTAGGAGATGTAAAGTTCTTTGGAATGGAGATAATGGTTTTGAAATTTCTAATAGTGATATTAGGCATATTGTTGATTTAAGAGAGAAGACTTGCACTTGTAGAACCTGGATGTTGAGAGGAATTCCATGCCCTCATGCTATTTGTTCCCTATATCACTTAGGACAGAATCCAGATGGCTTGGTTGAACATTGATACAGAAAGACCACCTTTATGAAAGATTACCAATATTTTATACAACCTATTCCCAACATGAAGATGTGGCCAGAATCATCAAATCTCTCTATTGAGCTACCTGAACCAAAACCAATGCCAGGAAGGCCTAAAAGATGTAGGAAAAGAGCAAAGGATGAGCCAAGAAAGAAACACGGCAAGATGTCAAAGAAAGGAGTGAAAATGACTTCTTCATAGTGTCATCAGTTAGGTCACAACAAAACTGCATGCCAATAAGGGGTAAGATCAAATAATTTTCTATGATTTTAGCATTCTATAATTCACACTAGCTGTTTATGCTTCTAGCCTAACATATGAGATACTCAAACAAGTCAGTCAACTCAAAGAAGTCAGCCAACCTCAACCATGCCTATCATTCCATCCTCAATTTGTGAGGACACATCTGCTGTGAAAAGATGTGGTCAGAGTAAGTTTAGTTCTGTAGGAAGAGGAAGAGGAAGGGAAAATGGCCTAGGAAGGGGATAATTTAGATCAACAGCTAATTCTATGGAAGGAAGGGGCATAGACACAAGCAGCATATGAAACTCAACAAACAATAGGATATAAGAGGCCTATGCAGGCTGGTTTTGGTGTTTATCAAGACACAATGATTGGAAGAACTGTCATGAATGTAAGTTATACCTCTGTTATAATTTTTTTGTTTAAGTTAATAGCAGACTCTAATCTTCTAATATTTTGCAGCATGGTAACCCTTTATGAGAGGGTGATATCATCCGGTACAAATAGGGATGCATCTGCAACTAATATAGACCTTGGATTTGCACCTAATGATTTGAAATGGAAAGGAAAAAAGGCAGTGACAACTTCTCAGCTTCAAAGAATGGGTGTTGCCAAGAATATGAGGCCTTCCAGCCAAGTCATGGAGGGAGAAAATAATTAAGCTGCTTTAGAAGTCTTTTATCTATGTTGTAGTGCTTGTTAAGTCCTTTTGTTGTTGACATTGTTGGTGTTTTTTGAGATTGCAATTGTAAACAATTAAGCTATATTTTTTGTGATTGCAAACTTAAGTAATCAATGTTTCAGACCATTGTTGGTGTTCTACCAGTTGTTAAGTCAAGGTTGTTGTTGACATTGTAGGTGGTCTAACAGTTGTTAGAAACAACTTGCTACTTGTGGTTTCGTGTTAGAAAATTTCAGTTGTTAACACTTCTGTTGCTTTGTTGCTTTTGGTTTCATGTTAGAAACAACTTGTTACTTTGTTCCTTCCGTTGTTTGCAAATGTCACAGCTTTAAGACCAAAGTATTAGCCAATTTCAGAGCTTTAGATGTTTGCCATTTTTAACAGATTATGCAGCGAAAGAAACAATAAGTCAGCCAGCAACCTTCAACAAAGACTAATTCCTTTCTTCATAAATGTACATATGCAAAAGAAAATACATATGTTACATCCCATACTTTAATATTAGGATGAGCCTTAGTAATCCATATGAGCTTGAAAGGATTAAGACCATTCATGAAATTATAGAGAATTTGTGACTATGTTATTGTAAGACCCCGTAAGTTTAACAACCTTGATACCGTTATATGCATTTGATATGGTAATTTGAGTGGAACATTTTTGTAAAACGAAAGTTTGAAAAATATGATTTTATATAGTTATTAATATTACTACTTTCGAACATGCTTTAAATTATACACATTATATGAGAAAGTTTATGAGATTTTCTTTATTGTAAAGATAGAAATTATTTTTTCACAAGAAAAGAAGGTTATCTTTTTACCATTTTAAGAATTAAGCGTAGGAAAATTTGTGCTCTTTATATGAGATTAGAAAAATTAGAAGTTGAGAAAATATATGTATTTTTATATAGATATTTTAATGAAATAATAGTGTATGCATTAATTTTATATGGTACCATAATTTATTAATATTTTAATAGTAGTACTTTAGGATGAGGACAAGACTATTTTCGAGGTTATAAGTATTTATGATATGTCAAACAAGTGATAAGTAAGTGTTATAAAGGTCAGAGGATAAACGAATCGAAGAGATTGAGTATCGCCGAAGTTTGACAATTTGGGATAAAATATGGTCCAAGCTATAATACCCTGTATTTATGGACTAGTGACATACAAGGTACCACATGACCATGATAGTAAGGTGTATAAAGTATGTTAAAAGTGAGTAGTATTTTAAGTAATTTGAGATAGTTCTTAATTATATGGATAATTGGGTAATTATAAATTTTTAGTGGGAGATTAACTAAGTAATTAAGCTAATTAAGAAAATTGGATAAGCCTAAAGGGCTCCCAACGTGGCAGCCAAGGAAAGCCCAATAAATGACTCTTAAGTCATAGAGCAAGATGGCACATTTAGGGAGTTTTGGTGGCTCAGTCATCAAATAAGTGGGCCCCACACCCACTAGGATTAAAAATCTTTCAAAATCACTTAAGAGAGATACAAGTATCTCTCTTAAGTGATAATGAAGGAAAACTTCATCAAATTCATACGAAGATGATATTATGTAATAGCAGCGTGAGATGCAATTCTAAGAGAGCACGGTACAATCTTTCTCAAGAATATTATACGGATTTTTCCCTACTTCGATCCGTCGTTACGTGTTTTTCGCAAAGACGCGTGTTATAGGGATTATCAAGAGAATCGGCTCAGGCATGTTAAGGCTATCTCTTATTTCCTTTTGGCACGATCCAAGTAACGATACATAAACGTAATGTTATTTCATAAATGGTTATACTCTTAGTAACTAAGAAGGTCTACATTGTTCGTTCGTGTAACATGATATTCAAAGCATGCCTAAGCATGGTCCTAACTCTCTATTAAGGTATTTAATAAATATGTTAATGTTCATAATGGTATTATGTGCATCATGCATTTACCACCAAGCTACGACCGGTTGGGCAGTTACACATTTACCACCGAGCTACAACCGGTTGGGTAGTTACACATTTACCACCGAACTACGACCGGTTGGGTAGTTACACATTTACCACCGAGCTACGGCCGGTCGGGCAGTCATGCATTTATCACCGAGCTACGACCGGTTGGGCAGTTACACATTTACAACCGAGCTACGGTCGGTCGGGAAGTCATGCATTTACTACCGAGCTACGACCAGTCTGGCCGTCATACATTTACCACCGCGCTACGGCCAGTCGGGCAGTTACCACCGATCAGTTGGGCAGTCATGCATCATACGATATGGATAGGAGTCTCAAAGAGAAGCATTATATATATAAGTATAATAAGTACGCATATACAGAGACTCTGGTTGATTCTTATATCTCTTTAATTAATGTTGACTTATTGTTATGTTTTAGTTCCGCCTTACATACTCGGTACACTATTCGTACTGACGTCCTTTTGTTGTGGACGCTGCATTCATGCTTGCAGGTACATGTAATCAGTTTGACGAGCCCTCATAGTAGACGAGGTTAGCATTCGGCGAAGGATCGGTAAGACTCCACTTCATTCGGAGTGCAGCCGAGTCTATAAGTCATCGTGTCAGAGTTTTGCTACAGACTTATTGTTAGGCAGGGGCCTTGTCTCATTTGATGTCGAATAATCTTAAAGGCTTTGTAGACCATAAGTTCATTTTGTACAGTATGTCAGAGGCCTTGACGACCCATATGTATTAATGTTTTAAGAACGATGGTTCATTGATACAATGTTTTCTCACTTATAGTTAATCATTATGAGTTGTGACCATGTTTGCTCATGATAGTTACAAAAAAAAAAGGTTACAGAATGGTTCGCTCGGGCCAGTACGGTACCGGATGCCAGCCACGCCTCTCCAGCCAATTTTGCTTCATTTTCTTTGACCCTTTTTAGCAAACCATTAATGGTCTTATTAGCTTGATCGGAAAAGTCTTCGTCATACCATCTAAAGTAGTCGCAAGCACCTCGATCCTTCAAAGAAGGATGAATCAGAATTAAAAAAAAAAAAGTAACCCAATTTGCTAAGCATAAGTACAAAAACATGGCCGGCTCACTTTGTCCAATTTACACCCATAAAATCGACGACCTGGATTTTTGGTGGACCATGAAATTTTCAGCTTTGCATTAAAACCACAACAACAAAAATCCAATCCCTTTTGACAACTCTCTTCTCTTTGCGACATGGCTACAACAGCTATGAAGTTCAAACTCTAAATTTGGGATGAAGAACAAGAAAAAGACAACTAGTACAATTTCCTATAAATTTAACGCAAGATTCAACAAATTGAAGAAAAAATGCAGTCTTTGAATATTCATGGAGAGGAGCTTTTGAGATTTAAGGCTTATTTTGCAACTGTTAATGAAGAAAGAGATAGGGAAAGCGGGTATAAAAGGGGGCCCAACGGTAAGATTTTGTTAGCGTTAAAATGGGATTGAAATTAGAGACTCACGCGTGACCTGGGTGTGGAAACTCACTCAATGTGACAAGTCAATATTTTGTGTTTAAGTGGCACATGAGGGAATGAGTTGGACTGTCAAAATGAAAAATACCAAAGTAAAAATGTCAAAATAAAAAGCGGAGTCGAGTTTAAGGGGCAGTTTATGGGTTTGGCCAAGAATGTGACAGTAAAGTAAAACGATTTTTTCCAAAAATAAAATAAAATGACAGTATTAAATATGAATACAAAAAGATTATGAAAGTAATAATAATAATAATAGTGGGAATGAATTGAAATGGTGATTGTCCAGGTGTTAAGCGGTTGAGCCAATCCCGTTGGGCGTTGGTTTGAATCTACTAAAGCGCAGAAGCAGAGGCTCTCTCTCTGTGTCTCTCTCCCTCAGAGCCCGGCGCTGTGTTGAGACTTCAGAAATTCAAATACTGAGCTATCGTCTCCTCGTATCAAATCAATCCACCTCTACTACTTTCCTTGTTAAACTTCACTTCCCTTCTTAAATACCCTTCCCACTCCTTTTTATTACAACTCATTTATAATTCCTTTTTTGGGCCATTGCGGTTTATACACCATACACAATACATTTCTCCTTAATCTCCGACTGAAACCAA